ACATATTTTATATATAATTATATATAATATGTTTAAATATGTTTTTATATAAGTCGACATTTTCCAACATCTACCACTGACAAATAAAAATAAACTTGAAGCGTTAGAGAAAGCAAGTTAAACAATGACTCAACTTGTAGAAAACATATGGTAAGTTATACACTTGTTGTTCTACATGGAATATTTATGAAAATAAATGTAATTTAATAATATTATACAATTACTGGATAACATAGTAAATGTAAACGTTTGCAACACTAAAAAATAATATAACATAGATAGACTAGATTTTTCGCCCGCGCTTCGCGCGGGCTCAAAATGTATTCCTTTCTCTCCAAACTCACTCATTACTTAGGAGCACCAACAGAACTCCATAAAACCCAATTTTCAACCCCATAACAGCCATTTCCATAAAATTAGTAATCTTTTGGTACTAATTTCATCAAAATCATCAACAAAAAGTTAGAAAAATTTTGGCACTGGTTTCAAGAAAATCGATCCATTAATACAAAATTATCCATTAATGAAAAATTAAATTTATCCTCTAAAAATTAAAACAAAATTTGGTATTGATTTCAAGAAAATGGGTTAATTAATACTTATTATTTCTTGAAATTTGAATAATTTTCAAACTGGTTTCCAAAAAATCGGTAACAAAAAATTATCCATAAAAAAATTCAGTTTGATACCTCAAAGTTTGCGGAAATTGGAACAATCACGTACACTTTTTTTAAACAGAAATCGGCAACCCTTTTAATATTAACAATTTTTCTAATTTCATTACATTCTTTAGTTCTTTCTACCCCTATTTCATATATAAATTGTTTAAGATTTGAACAATTATTTTTCAAAAAATTTAAAAAAGTTTGGAACCGGCGGTTTCCAAAAAATTGGTAACAAAAAATTATACATTTTATAGCATTCCCCGAGAAATATTCTACCCCTACTTCATATACAATTCTTTAAGATTTGGTCAATTAATTCCCGAAAAATTGAAAAAATTTCGGTACTGGCTTCCAAAAAGATCGGTAACGAAAAATTATACACTTTATAGTACTTCCCGGAAAATTCTATCCTTGTTTGATCTATAAATCTTTAAGATTCGGTCAATTATTTCCCGAAAAATTGTAAAAATTTCTGATACCGGTTTCCAGAAAATCGGTAACAAAAAACTATACATTTTATGGCATTCCCCGGGAAATTCTACCCCTACTTCATACACAATTTTTTGAGATTCGGTCAATTATTTCCCGAAAAATTGGACAAATTAAAAAAATCGGTTTCCAGAAAATTGGTAGCAAAATACTATACACTTTATGGCACTCCCCGGGAAATTCTACCCCTATTTCATGTACCCTTGGTAAAAATTCGGTCCACTAACGAATGAGTAGTTCACGGTCAGACATACAGACATACAGACGACGGTACTTATATATATAGATATAAATATTAATGTGCAAGATAATTTTATAATTCATAAATATTCTAAAGTTGCATATCACCTTCAAGTGGTGGAGGTGGATTCGAGGTTCCGGTTCATTATCCGCGGGTTCATTATCCGCTGGACCACGACACATATACTCGCAAAGACAAATACAACAGAATATTAAAATGAACACTGCAATAACACCTATTATATAAAAAAAAGAAACATCTTGAATCATATTGAAGTGCGTCCTTTAACGTGCACTGCGAACCTTCGACTGTGATTCGATATGATATATTCGTTATGATTTCGAGCCGGCAGCCCCTTTCCCCCCTACAACCCCTTGTGGGTCGTGGGCCGTAGAAAATTGACCAATTACATTCGAATTTAAGGAGAATAGAAGAACAAGATTAAGAAGAATAATCGACTGTGATTGGTTAATTTCTTGCGATTCGCGACTCGCATTGTAGACCCCGCATAACAATTTTCTCTTTTCACAAAAATTGACCCTTATTGATATTTTACGTACCAAAGTTTTAGAATATTATACGAAATTATGCAAACTATTAAAACTAATAAAATAAAGTTTTTTTAATTTCCCAAGAGCTTCTTGCGTCATTAATCACAACTTTCCATATCTCATTGCCGATATGTTTAAAATAATGAATATATAATTAAGTTTCCTATCAACGACAATCCTTTCGCGTTTTACCTTTCTAGATGCACGACTTTACATCGCCCGCTTTTCTTTAGATCTTTTATGTGCGCATAATGCGTCATTTCGCTACATTCATAAATATCACATTTTCTTTTCAAAAACATTTTAACTTCACATGAAATATAATATAACGCATCGCACATTCGCACAGTTATTACGACGAATAATTTATTAATTTTATTTTTATTTTCAGGTTTCCCCGTTACGCTTTGGATCATCTCAGGAATCAAAAGGTTAAGTATATTTAATAAAGGTAAGTATACCTATTTACGTTCATTAAGGTAAGTATACCTATTTACGTTAATTAAGGAGATGCTGGACTGACGGTCGAACTTCCTCGATGTCGATAATGTCAACATTTCTAATTTTGTTTTTCCTATATCTGTCTTCGTCTAACGAAATGACATCTGTCTTTGTTCGATTGCTGTGCTATCTCTGCTTACTAGCCTTGCGTGTATATTTTTGTGGAAAATATACACGATTTCTTCGAAGCCTAAATTTTTTTTTTTTTTTTTTTTTTAGGCTTTCAATCTCAATTTCAACGGTACGTTAAGGTGCGTCTTTTCACATATTGATGCTCGATCGGCTCAACCTCAGTGAGCAAAAATCTTCAGAAATAATATATTCGTAAAATATTTCACATCACACGTGCGTGGAAAGTGGCCCATTACGCGCGTGTCACGCGCGTAATGTGCCACTTTCTACGCACTTGTAATATAAAATAGGGTGTGTAACACGTGTGTTAAGTTGAAAATTGGACGTGCGGAGTGGACGCACGAGCCGGAGGCAAATTTCCATCTTACAGCACTTGTTACACAAATAAAATAACTATTATTACTTGAAGATATTACTTGAAAATAATTAATACTTTACGTATTTCAAAGCCTATTTTTGATTGTATACAAATACATACTGAGACGATCAACGACGATTCAGCGTCAACGCTGGATGTTGAATAAATTCAGCTTTTATTTCTTAACGCTATATTTTCATCGAAACCTACATGATGAATATTATTTTAAGTGTCAGAACGTCGGCGGGCTTCAAAGAGCAGAAAATGATCTAGTTTCATCGCCGGCGACAAAACGTCAGGTTTCTCTCTGACGTTACAGTCAAATTGTCGTGGCATACCGTGTTCTAATTTTCATTCTCCAAAGTTTAGTTTTGAATTATGAAAAGAAATAAGTTAACTATTATAGAATATGCTCGGTCCAGATATTCCTACGTCCATATTCGGTCTTAGATAAAGTTATTGCAACATCAGTTGAATGCCTCGCGGTTAAAAACGGGAACGAATATATAATTGCGATGCGAATTTGACTTACGCAGTCCTTGCAAATCGATGCTTTTCTTTTTCCGCCCCCGGAAAAACAAGTCGTCTTGAATTGTTTTCTTTTTCTGATGCTATTATTGAAAGAGATGACGCTAAATATATATAAAGTTTACTCAATCAGCGCCGTCCTTTAAACGGGATTTTCAATTTTTTTTTATGAAGAGATGAGCCATATTAAAATTTTTTTAATGATTGGGGGGGGGGATTGAATATTAATGACTTGTTCGGACGTGTTTTGTCCCGAAAAAACTTTTTGAGGGTTGCAGATGCAGTCAACCGTGTTTGTTAGTAAAGTTTTCGAACGTAGTCAATAAGAAGAAGTCTGCTAACGTCACATCGCTGCGCACGCGCGGCAGCGGCAAGTCTACACACGTGACACGTGCACATACTGCACATGCACATTGCACATGGCAAACGTTTCGTATGGAAGTTTTCGCACGTGCCACTAAAGCCAATAAATAAGAAGAATATATATTTTGCGTATACACAATTCTATCAATTATATTAAATCGAAATTAATTTCTTTTGAATTAATTTTTTGTGACAGAAGGAAAATAATTTGGTAAGTTCCTAATTTCTTCTCGTATTGAGTACAATTTCTTTTAGAGGATGTTTGAGGTTATCTCAATTTCTGTGGTTCATTTATAGATTAACAATGGCGACATCATTAGCGGCACAACTTAAAAAATTGAGAACTCCGCAGACGAACTTACTGCTGCAGGATAAAAAGCGTCCTAGCTTGCTATTTGACCCAAAGGAGGCTGCGAATTTGGACAGGGACACCGTGCTGAGTATAGGTTAGTTTCTGTCTGTTTTATGTTTTAATAAGTTAAATTTTATACCTTTTTAGTAAAAATTATAGTTAATAGTATTCATTTCTTGTTTACTGATCTATCTTTTTATTAGTTCTGTTCTATGTGGCTTTGATTATTTTAATAAACATAAGTTATGCTTTTTGATTACAAGGAGAGAGATACTTGTAAAGAAATGTTTCTTTATTGTTTCTGATCATACTTATCTGTTCTCAGGTCTGAGTGGTCTGGAAGAATTACAGAAGCTTTCAACTGTATTTAGTGAATTTCAAACCACGTTATTCGCTCAAAGCTCCGTAAACTTTGAAAGAGCTGTCCAGGATGCTACAGTAAATAAGAAACTGGATGCGGAGATCGCGAAATTTTTGTTATTTGCGACTCCGTACTTTTTACTGAATGCCTGCCACAAAGCTCTGGAATGGCTCGTATTCAGATATTACATTCATCAATACAATCGAGAACAGTTTATTCTTATGATCTTGCCATATCATGAGACTCGCATGTTTGTTAGGTATGTATTATTGAAACTATATTTTTTTATTTAAATTTACTGATTTAAACATCAATATTATGCATGTGGTGAAATATATATTGTTGATAAGTTATTTATAAATTTAAAAGTATGACTAAATCTTTATTATTACACGTCTCATATAGTCTCATATAGTCCTTTATTTACAATCTTCAACTCTCCGATTTCTTATAAAATTAAGGCATATATGGAATGAAGATTGAGATAGAACCGGGAACCTATTGACTACTAGTCGGTTGCTTTCGCACATAATTCTATTAATTCTTAATAGAATTCTGCCTTGTGAAAAAAGGCGCAAAATTACATTAAAATTGAAGAATTATATTAGAAATTTTATTAGATGTTAGATTAAAAACTGAAAATATTTTAATCTTATTTAAAAAAAAATTTTTTTTTTACTTATAATACTTTCTTATACATATAATTGTCATCACATATCTGTTTTTAATACAATTAATTTAAAATTTACAATTTTGCCTTTTAAGAGCCCTGCAACTGGTAGACTTGTCAGACGAGAGCGATAAGTGGCACTGGTTGACATCTGTGCAAAAACGCGGTTTGATACTGCCTTCTGGAATTCTTATTAAACATTTGATCTCGGATAAAGGACTTCTGAAGACGCTATGTACTCATGTGATATTTGCCACAAAGACTTATTCTGATCAGGCATCTTGCCTGACCACCTTGTATGCCTTTTACACTACTGCAGTGTTGGGTGTGATTGAACTAGGATCCATCACCGAGGTTCACGTGAACTATCTATTGCCGACTCTTCTTCATGGTTTGAAAAGTCCCATTCTCGATTTTGTTGCCAGCAGCTATATGATTATTGCGAAACTGATAACAAAGGTAAGTTTCCTCTGTCTTGACATTTACTTGTTTTTCAAATATTTCTATCTTGAATGAATATCGATTTCGCAGTAATTATAAAAGTGTAACTTTTCTATTATACCATTTTTTATATACCCTATTATAAATCAATTTGTAAAAATATTAAAATTATATAAATTTAGCATTTTCTGATAATACGATAAATTTATAGGTGAAATTAAACGACGACACTATGGAGAAGTTATTGCTGATGACGTTCAAGAAGACGCACTTGAAGCAGGAAGCCGTCACCTTTCTGCTCTATCTTTATCAATCTCCGATTAATCGATTGACCGTTGTACCGCCAAATTTGGTCCTCCAATTATCTGAACTACCTTGGTTTATTGAGACAGTTGCCAAGGTTAATTCATCGGATATTAACGTGTCACGATTTATTGTGCCTTTTCTTCAAGCGGCTTGCCAGCTCATCGTCGAGAGACCTGAAAACACCAGCAGTGTGCAGAACATGATTGGCAACATGTTGGGACACATTAGGCTCGATAACGATGTGGTGGACGCCATTTTATCTGGCATACTAACATGTGAATTCTTCAAGGATGAAACTTCTAAGAGCGCAAAAGACTTTCTAGCGAGATTTTATCAGAATTTTGAGCGCAGCTATCCGGAGAATTTCGATCGGTATCTGAAGAAATTGATGAAGCAGGGCGAGAGTGATGAAAAGTCTAAACAGGCGTTACATTTTCTTACTTCGTGGCCTTTCGGTACCAAGAGCACGCAGGAATCCGTCGAGATCCTGGACAAACTAATGCACATGAGCGCCGCGCAACGAGTGGTCGCTCTCGAAATTCTCGCCAAGAATGACGTAAACGTGCCTGAGAGCTTTCGCGGTATAATGACAAGTAGTCTTCAAGCTAGATTCTATGACAACGACGTGAACGTTGTGAAGACCCTGTTGTCTTTCCCCATCAAGAGATTGACTAGCTTATTACCCACAGATACTCTAGTGGATGAATTATTAGTCCTATTATCAATGTGTCACACGGCATCAAGGAAAGTTTTAGCTAAGCCAGCTCTGAAGATACTCTTGGAGCTTTGCGAAGAAAGTGACGATACCAGCGTCTTCATCACGGCTTTGCCATACTTATTCCCGGCCACGGACGACGATGTAGAAGTTGCTATGGAAGTTCTTCGCTCAAACTTCGCTAAAAATAACATGTATATGCAGCGCGTGATAGAGGATATCAGCAAATCCAAATTGAATGCCGAAGCAGTGTCTTCTGCCGCTTTTCACAACATCTTAAACTATGAGCTGCTACCACCCACGGAGAGTATACTGAATTCTATGCGGCAACAAATCTCGCACAGTGACGCGGCGTCTCTGTTCTTCAACATGATCCTACTAGGCTCGGTCTGTAGGGTACCCGTGGGCTCGATGCCGGTAAAAACTGCACGGGATGTCATCGAGATGGCCACGGAGATGATCAAGACGTATCCACGCGTCAAGCTACTGCGCGACTGCAACAACATCACTGGCCACAATATTCAAATGGCTTTGAAGCTTACATCTGAAGGAATCTTGCCGCTTCAAGTGGGTACTTACGTCCTTGAAATGGTACATAGGCGGCTGAACATTAAGTTTGAGTCAAAACTCGACTTCGACAATAACGCGGAGCGAAGCAATCTGATCTTGCGACTCCTCGAGATGTTTATTGAGGGCATGGACAACCGACACTGGCGGAAGCACTACTCTAGATGTCTACAAATCTTCTTCCAGCTGCATTTTGCCACAGTGAAGGATCTCGTCTGCTTTCTCGCGCAGTTCTACATAAAACCCGTTAAGACGCAAACGTCCTATCACTGTTTACAGATTTCTTTACTGCTGCTAAATCAGTGTAAATCTGTCCAATGGGCATTCCAAGATCAGGACTTCGTAACCAACTTGCTGCTTTCGTTGACGAGACGGAACAACGAGTGCAGAAGAGTGGCGGTGGACATTCTAAAGAAATTAACGCAGACCTTTAGTCTCACCGCAGAACCGTTCTTCGTGTTACTACAAAAACTGGCGACAGAGAATGGGGAAATCTGCAATGATCCTGATCATCTTGCATTGAGCTTTTATTTTTTGCTTTCTCCAGATCCACATGTGTCTCATCAAATCAAGGAACACAAAAAGTTGCAACAAGCTCAGAAATTAATATTTAACGTAGTGACGCAGCAGAATGAAGCGCCAAAGATTCCTCTGGATCGAAGATCACAGCTTCTCGATATTTTGGTGAACGTCAACAGCACCGAAATCCTACGGCAACTGGCTCCAATGGGTCTTCAGCTTTTACCAAAGTTGACGGAAGATCCAAAAAACCGGTCAGCTGGTAACGCTTTACGAAATATACTGGAACGTTTTACCATAAACACAGTTGACGCCCTGAAGGATGAACAAGTGTGGTCGCTCTTCAAGACGTGCATCCTGATACACGAACCCTGCGCGGTATTGGATTCCGGCGATCAAACGTCGCCGAGCATTATCGTACTGAAAAGGATCAGTGCAATCTTTGATATGCTATCTCACGATCTCCAGGTGAGCATCCTGTCTAAAGTGCTGGACGTGATGATTGATTGCGAGATGGTCGACGTGGTCTCCGTCGCGGGCAAGACAATCCGTGGTATGTGCATGGATGCAACAATCCTGATCTCAGAACTGGAGGCCATGAAGCTGAGCGGCCAAGTTCAGGAGGAGTCGGCAGACTCGGAGATGACAGCGAGCGCGAGAAAACGGAAAAAGAGGCAGAGTCAAATCCAACTGGCGCATCCGGCGATGGTTCACAGCCGAGCGTGGAAACGCGGCGTCGTCCTATTGGAGTTCGCGGAGCGCGCCGATACCATCAAACGCGAGGAACTACTTTATAGTATACTATTCGACTTGTTGAACGTTTGTCTGAGTCTAGAGGAACAGGGTCCAGTTGAGTACACGAATCAGTTGCTTCTCTCGACGATCTTTCGGATGATGAAGAAGAAATTGCCAGTTCGCGATGCTGGTTTGCAAATTACACTTATCGTCAAGTGCATCAGGACGTCGCGCAATCCGCAGACGCATTATCATGCGTTGCAGGTGCTGGTCGAATTCCTGAAGAATCTGGACGTGCAACGCGCTCTCTTTAATCTCATGCCGATTTTCACGTTTATGGGCAGCACGATGGTACGCCAAGACGACGCTTACTCCATTCAGATTATCTCCAAGACTCTGGAGACAGTGGTACCGATTATAAACGCGGCCGACGACGCGACACAAGCCTGCGAGCTGCTGAGGACCTTTATTGTCTCGTTGCCTCATATTCCCGAGCACAGACGGATGCCGCTCTTCGTCAAGTTGCTGCAGCTTCTTGACAATCACCTGCACTTGTATTATCTGCTGACTTTTGAGAGCCACGTGATGAAGATCGCGAGCCAGAAGACCGATCATTCTACGCAGTGGTTGGATTTCGCTTTACAGGTGTCTCAAGAATTCCCACCACATCGGTTGCTCGAGGTCAGTTCTTGAGGATCATTTTAACCTGAGATTTAGCAAAATGACAATTTTCGATAAAATTTTGGTAATAGAATATTTTAATGATGTAATTTTCTTCTTAAAAATTATTTATATTATTTTGATTATACAGAGATATATAATGAAAATAATTTACCGATTTTTGATTTAGATTTGTACGAAGGTGATTAAGTTCATCAAGATCTTGCCGATCGATATCGAAGAAGAGCAGGGCAGAAAGGAGGCGATGAAATTCCAGTACAAGTACATTTACAATGTGACCAAGTCCACGCCGAAAAGCTTTCGGCACTACAAGATAACGGCTGTGCAATTTCTCAGCAACCTTCTGTTGTCGGAGGATTTCATCAATCGCGTGGCCGTGCTGAGCCAGGACGAGATAGACAATATGAATCAGTATTGCGATCATTTGGCGATTGAGCTGATTCTGCTAATTCAGACCACCTCGAAGACCGCCGATCAGCATCAGAATAAATCCAGTGCCAAGTACTGGAAGGTGTTACTACATCATTTGTACGACGTGCTGGATCTGGTGAACAATCTGTTGCCGAATACCCTATTCCTGCAGAGCATCAAGAATCTACTAAAGCATGAATTACTACCGGTGAAGAAGAAAGCTCTAGAACTGTTGAACACAAGACTGCTTCAGAAGAAATTTGGTGAGGATGTTCACGCAGATCTTTTGAGTTTGATTGAACCTTTGGCAGATTTCTTAGAAGGGAAGATTGAAAACCAGGAACAAGAGGTCGTACAACAGACAGTGTTAATATCTTTGAAACTGCTGGCGAAGTTGCTGGCCACTAGTCACCCTGCTGTCTTTAAACCGGTATATGCATCAATATTAATATTTCTAACAAAATTTTGGCAACTTATTTAATAACCTTCTTTAGAAAAATCAATTTATTTTAATATTATTGTTAATTATAATATACTTACTAATATATATATACTATTATTTAATATTATATTAATGATTATTCACAGATTTTGGATACAACGACGGAATTGTTGCAATCGAAAAATGGTCCAGTATTAGCCAGTGCGGCGTTGTGCGTAGCAGAATTATGCAGTTCAATGCGAACGCATGCTTTGTACTCCCTAAATAAATTCGTGCCGGCAATTTTGAACTTGCTAAAAACTCATTGCCATCAGAATGTGCCGGATGTAATAGTTATTAGCATCGTAAGTGCTTTGCAGAAGATAGTGGAATCTCTGGGAAATTTCCTATCGCTCTACTTAGATCAACTCCTGTCTGAATTGACGATGCTGAACTCGCAGTATACCAACACGGAGCATCCTAAGGTACTCGTGATATTACCTCAGCCAAGAATTATGATATGGGATCTCATTTCAAATTCTATTGCAGAAATTTTCGTTGGTTTCTTTTGAAGCTTAATCGCTCTTCGTTTATGTTTTTGCAGGCCAGTATAGTTCTTTCACGTCTAAAGGCAACGACGCAGAAATTATCCAGTTGTATACCCCTGCGAGTGTTGCTGCCAGCTGTTAACGAAACTTACGACACGCTATTAAACAACAAATCTTACAAATGTATACCGTCGTTGATGAGCGTGCTGGCCGAGTCTTTTGACAGCGTGCAATCAACGGAACTGAAAGTAGAGGTTGACAACCTCACCAACTTCTTCCTCGAGGTCCTTCGATGCCGCGAAAGAATTGAGGATAATATGAAAACGGATGACGACGCGCAAGTTACCTCAAAAGACATCGTCGCGGTCGAGGAAAGCGCTAGTAAGGCATTGGTGTCATTGCTTTTGAAATTGAGCGAAGTAACATTTAGACCGTTGTATGATAAGCTTTATGGATGGGCAGCGAATGAAACGCAATACAAGCAGCGAAATATAACGTTCTACAGGTATGAACAAATACAATTAATTTCCATTATATTATCTATTAACTTATAGTTGTAGGTCTGTTTCAAAGCAGTTATGGTTCCTGCCAATCGTGCGATAATTAAATGTTTAAATTAATCAGTAATTATATCAATGTCATGTCATGTATATCCAAGCAACAATAATAATAATAAGATTAAGTGTTTCTTGGTTTTAACTAATTGACATGAATATCAACTGAATTTTAATTTCGTAGGTCAGTTACAAATAATTTTAGAATCTGAAAAATTATTTTAACCTGTTAAAAGATAGCAAATTAATGAAAAATGATATATCTTGTGTTCATCAGTTCTTGCAAAGGCTCAATTTTTAATTAATTTTTTTTTTAGAATATCGGCGAATATAGCAGAGTGCTTGAAGTCCCTATTCGTTTTGTTCGCTGGACTCTTTTTGAAGCATGCGGCGTCGCTGTTAAGCAGCAACAATATATTCGTAACTGACACTCCGCAAGAATTGACTCTACCCGACGAATCAAGCAGAATCGAGTTGACAGAGGCGATTCTGCTGACGCTTCACCGGGTATTCGGTTACGATGTACATAACTTCGTCAGTCAGGACCGGTTCGAGGTTCTCATGCAACCGATAGTAGATCAAGTGGAAAATACAATGGGCACGAGGGAAGAATACGAGAGTCGAGCTAACCAGCTCATCGTACCTTGCATAGCTTCCTTCGCCAGCGCCATTTCCGATGATTCATTGCACAAACAACTGGTCTACCAGACGTTGCTGAAGACGAGACACGTAAAGCCTTACGTCAGGAGCACCGCTTTGAACGCATTGGTAAGACAAAAATATAATAATTAATCTAGTTTAATTTAGATAATGTAAAAAGTTACTGTGCAGTGGAGTTTCTATTTTTATTGCTTTAATATATGACAAAATATATATGTATATAATGAACTATTGTTATATACGTGCAACACAAGTAAATATAATGAAGAATTAATGTTCCACTAAAAACTGTTTATGCAGCTTATACTTGATCATAATTTACGGAGGAATTAAACGGTGCACTATTATTTTTTGTATTTTGAGCATTTAAAATTTTTTTTTGCTTATTTTTTGACAATTTGTTATCGTGATTTAGGTGGAAATCGCGAGGAAACTTGGCGAAGATTTTATGCCATTATTGCCGGAAACCGTGCCATTCCTAGCGGAGATGTTGGAAGATGAAGACGAAGCTACGGAGAAATGTGCGCAGAATGCTGTTCGCACTCTAGAAGAAATTTTAGGAGAACCTTTGCAGAAATATTTTTAAACTTTTTCAAATATGCATTAGTCTGTAAATATATAAATATACTCACTATTTGACGCACGACAATTCAAAAAATGAAATAATTTTCTCATACTGTGATTCCATGAAAAAAAAAAGAGAAAAAAAAAACAAATTGTACATGATTGAGTTGCATTTAATTACGAAAAAAGTTTTTAAAAAATGTTCAATATATAATCGTCATAAAAAGTTCTATAAAAAAATCAATGGTCTAGACATCATTATTCTGCTTAACTTTGCACAGTTTTCCCAATTTCTAACGCTTTCCGTGCCATGGCGACCGCGCCGTCCTTGGTTTTGTGACCCTCTCTGCACCGATCGGATAACACAAATAGAGCGCCTTCAATTCCAC